CTGGCTTGTGATGGGGTGTGAACCGACAGTCTGTAGAGTTTTCCATCTGGTGTGGGTGAGTGATAGTCTACTTTGATTTTGGTTAAGGTAGATTATCATTTACAGTGTAATCAGTGAGGGGATTCTGCAGACTGTTAGGGTTCAGCCTCCTGATGAGTCGGTGAAACTCCGACGAAACAGTTTGTCACAGCCCCTCGTTTGTTGTCCTCTTCTCTCTCTCTGCCTACGGATTTACCGGGCAGTTCTGTTTGTGACGATATATGTATATATATATATAGGGTGTGAACCGACAGTCTGTAGAGTTTTCCATCTGTTGTGGGTGAGTGATAGTCTGCTTTGACTTTTGCCACAGGTACCTTGAGGGCAGTGGTTGGTGCCCACCTCAGGGCATCAGTTGTCGGGCAGTCGTTGATGCTTAACCACAGCCGGGGTTAAGGTGGATTATCACTTACAGTGTAATCAGTTAGGGGATTCTGCAGACTGTGTTGGAGGGTTCAGCCTCCTGATGAGACGGTGACACTCCGACGAAACGGTTTGTCACAGCCCCTCGTTTGTTGTCCTCTTCTCCCTCTCTGCCTACGACAGTCTGCAGAATCCCCTAACTGATTACACTGGAAGTGATAATCCACCTTAACCCCGGTTGTGGTTAAGCATCAACGACTGCGGAGGTTTCTGCAGGGACAGAGAAATGCAAGTACTCATGGTTTGCCAGCAGACAGCAAAGGACAGGCAGGCCCTGAGCTCAGGCCCGAACTGGAAGCGGCGAAACCCGGTCAGGCCAGGGGTTGGGCCCAGCCAAGGTGTCTGGGACCTGGTAGGGCAGGGGCAAAATCGAAAGACTCCAGAAGGCAGTGCCTACTACCTGTGCAGAAAACTGGCCAGAGTCCGCAAGGAAAGGTGGGGTAGGAGGCAAAGATATCTTGGTCGGAGGGAGTTTGACGAACAGACCGCCGGGTGCTTGTAGTGCGCTGCACCTCGGTCTTCCCCCGAATAGAATGCATGGTCATTATAGCTGTATAATTGCAGAGCAACCTTCAGTCTAGATTCCAAAATAATGGCCGCAAACATTCTAATCGGTGGAAGAAGGTAGCAGGAGGAAGGAGTGGCTTCAGCCGAGAGGCCAGGGCCAGCCATAGCTGGGTTGAGAGAGAAGGGTGTTACCCTGGTGATAGGGTGACACTGTCGTGTTGACCGGATCCGCTACGGTCTTACCCCGAATAGAATGCATGGTCCTTATATCTGTATTGTGGAGCAAGTTTCAGTCCAGGTTCGGCAATAATGGCCGCGTACATTCAATTTGGGGAAAGACGGTAGCAGGAGGAAGGAGTGTCTTCAGCCGACAGACTAGTTGCGGCAGCCATAGCTGGGTCTAGAGAGAACGCGATGTCACCAGGCGGATTGGGTGTTGCGCTGACCAGATCCGCAGCAGGGAAGCATACCATGTCGGACCAGCGGCGGCCATGGCTGCAGAAGGAGGTCTGAGTCAGCACCAGGACAGCTGGGGCGATGCGGAACAAGGTCCGCACAACAAGGTCGGCACCATAGCTGTGAAGTGCTGGGATGGAAGAAGGGTAGCGTTACAAAGGGGATATCCATGGGGGGAGACAAAGCCATGGGGTAGGGAAGAGTTGGCAGCGGATGCTCACGTGGTACATGATACGGAGGAGGAGCTCGAGCACAGTGAACTTGAACAGGCTTTGAGAGTGTAAACTCTTTCTTGTCCTCGCGCGATCGTTGCTTGCTTTAAGTTTGTGAATTCTGTTAGGATCCCCTTCAAGTTGTTGCTAAGTTTGCTAACATGTGCATGTTGGACATGTGAGAGGATTTTTATTTATTATTATTATTATTATTATTATTTTTTTTTGCAATAAGTTAAAAACAGAGTTAGTAATAAGGCGGTTGGGCATGTGAGTGTTTTTTTGTTTTTTCGTTTTGTGTTTTGTGCTTTTTGAACTTTTTCAATAACCCAGAGAGTTCATGCTGCTTGTGATCTAAGTAAGTTTTTCTCCAGAGCAAGTTGCTTGCACAAACTCAGGAAATACTCAACAGGAAAATAAACACACAATGTACTAGGCGAATAGTTGCCGAAAAGTTCAGCGAAAACACCGAAAAATAATAAGAAGATAGAACAACTATTATGTACCTGCCCTGTGGATGAAAAAAATGCTAAACAACATATGAGACTGGCTCATGAATACACCATGAGTTTAAAGCCTGCTGGATACCACTGTGGATCTTGAGCACTAACTGGCCCCCACGGTGACCTTGTTTTGTTCTTGGGGCTACCTCCC